CCCCCCCCCCCCCCGCAACGGACGAGTAGAAGCAAAACTTGAATTCCTTTCAGTTGGTTATATAGCGCAGACTATTTTTTCTCTATTGTTTTGATTTAAATCGAAACTACAGCCTTGTTTTTTCTTCCTATCTCTTGAGCTTAACGAAAATGTTATTCATAACCCAAACAAAAACTTGTCTTCTTAATATACTTTCCTGCAATCTCTTTCATTAATCTGAATCCTCTGCAGCTATAATACATAAAAATAGGAAAATTTCTACCATGAACAGTTTTATTCAATTTGGGTGTAAAGGAAATTCCAAAGCCCGCTGGCTGATGCTGATTAAATTACGTGTTTGGTGATCGCTGAGGTGTGATGAATCTCGCATCCATAGAAACAAGAAAAGTGAGGTGCTTATATATTATATGAAGCAATAGTTTAGGTTTTTGAGCTGGCAGGCCAGAAAGACTTCCCAGTGCGAAACCCAACAGCGCTTATACAAGTTATTAGAGTCATTTACACAAGTAATTCATTGGTAGCTGTAATAAATGGTTACACACGTGTCAAGTTTATAAAATACTGTACATGCATAGAATAACTTTGAAGTTCTTTGCAACATTCAGCAGCAGAAACACCTCGAAGGACTCCTTCCCCTGGAACGCATGTGCTTTGCCTTCTCTTTAACCTCAAACTCTTCATTTCTTCTTTTCTCCTCCAACTGCCTTCTTGCTCCTCCAGAAATCATATCAATTCTCGCTATCTTGTTTTGGTAATGTTGCATGTTTCTTGCCCTTCTTAGCTCCAGTTCGCTCTACAGGTCCAGATGTCAGGATAATGGCTAGCTTAATCATTAGCATTCACAAAGTTGATTAGATAAAATATCAAATATCAAAGTGAAACCTTCTTCTTTTCCCCATGGAGTTTGGCTCGCATCTTTCTTGCCTTCTCCCAATCAAGAATCTTGGATTTCATTTTCTCATACCTGAAATTTAGTTTTGACTTATTATAACCCAGACTAGGAAGTAATAATAGTATATGATTGAGTTTGAACTACTTTTTCAAGTAGATTTGGAGCTGTTCAAATAAACTAAGGGTCACCTTCTATTAATCTTTCTTAGCTGATCTTTCTCCCAAGAATCTGCTTTGGTTTCCACAACTTGGCTTAAAGGTTGTCGGTTCATTGGTCTCGCAGAGGAGGAACGACTTGGTTTTCTGGTAGGGAAAGCATTTTCTTGTTGCCTTCTGTCCTCTTCTGTTGGTTTTCTAGCTGAAGTTTCACCTGAAAATTATTCCTTTGTTACAGTCTGGCAGTAAACTCTTGTTTAGAATTTTCTTTTGACCGTTGACAATTACCTGCAACTATCATTTCCCTACTAGAGAAATGTCTTGTTGCTCTAACAGAACCAGCTGAAGAATCTTGTTTCCTAGTCTTGATTTTTTCCTTTGACTTACCAAAATCCCCTCTCAGCTTTCTTCTGTAGTCTTCAGCTTCTTCAAGTGAATTAATGACAAATGCAGCAGCAGCAACCGCAGTCGCAAACTCACCATCTTGGAAATCGTAATCCTGACTCATTGGCCTAGGGACGTGCCTCCGGAACCAGTTCTACCCCTTGCTATCTACTACAAAATAGCTAGAAATTACACTTGTTTGTTAGAATATGTGTCATTTAATTTACCTTTCTCTCATGAAAGAATTCTTAACATCAAATTCAGTCTTTTAATTCCGGAATCATATAAATAATCCATGTAGAAGGGCACAGAATGTTAATATAGCACAGGAAAACAGGACTACAGCATATGTAGTAGAATTAGAACTTTTGTAAACATACAGTTGTAGGAACACCACGAGTACCCGTTCTGAAGGATTCTGTTCGCCGAGGCGGTATTGCTCTCTCCGTGACACTGCTAGATTCTTGCTGCTCTGGACCGGAAAATGTCATCATTGTCAATATTATCTCAACCAAGAAAAATGATAAACAGAAACCATCATGCAAATTAACTTTATTTCTCATACTCATATGAGAAAGTTTGAAGGTACCTCCTCTGCCTTACTAAATCTTCATCCACCACGCCAAAATATTTGCATTGTTTTCCTTTTCTAGGAGGCAGTAGTGTTTGATGATATGATTATGTGATAAGCGACAGCCTGGAAAGGAAGTCTTGCTTTGTAAAGATTTAACTTTTAGATCATGAACAGAAGATTGGTGCAAGCAAGACATATGAACTATGCTTTGCATGCAGGCTACCGCTGTAGCATATTTTTGCTTTTACGGGAAGCTAAGGATCTGTTTCTGCTTTTCATCCCGCCACTTGTGTTCCATTTCTAATTAGCTACTTTCTATCCTGCTTTCTAAACTTGTTGTTAAATATACATCTTTGCACGAAGAAGAAAGGAAATGGCTCGTTTAATACTTCATTTTTTTCTGAAAAATTGAAGTTATAGAAAGAAAAATAAAAAAGATCCTCGTTAAAATTCTCCAAACTATTTTTAAAATTTTTCATATATATATATCATTTGAGAGCCTCATTTTAAAAGTTTTTCACCTGAGTTTCTTTATAATTTTTTTATTGTTTTCTAAAATAAAAAAACACAAATGATATAATTTTTTATTTTATATGCAGAAACTTTTTATCAATGTAAACTATTAAAATTATTTTTTCTAACAATTTTCAAATTTAGTTAGTGTCATAAATTTATTTTTAATTATAAATATTATATAAAGTTTCCTCTTTTTTAGTCGATATGTATAACTTTTTCATGATAATTCTTAATTTCAATAAAATAAAATAAATATTTTATAATTATATTATTACAAATAAAAAATTATTATTATGATTTTTTTATGAACACTAATTACAATTGTGAAGTATTTCTTATTCTTTCGGTGAAAAGATTTATTTTTGTTCTCAAGAAATGAACATGATTTTTAATTTTTTATTGGAAATAAATCTAAAAAAGGAAAAGAAAATGGTTTTCTATTACTGAACAAACCGTAACATTCTTGAAGATATAACATCTATTTTATTTTACAGTAATTTTAATTCACCCCAGTCAAGTTTATGTGTTCTTTTAATTTCACTTCAAATCTATGATTTAATTTCAATGAAACCCGAATTTTTCATATTTATTCTACGTTTCATTTTAGTCCATGTCTGCTGGGAAATAGTAAGGAAAAAATGTCAATTTCAATTTCATCCTTGAAGTTAATAGAATATCTTAATATAATCCAAAGGTAAGAATGAACATTTAAAATTTTAAAAAAAAATCATTAAAGAAAGATATTTTCTCAATAAAATAAACATGATAAAGAAAACTAAGCTAAAAACAAATATGAAAAAATATACCCTCTATCACTAATATATCATATCTACGTGTTTCATCAAATTCTATATCAAAATTTATTATAAAATGTTGAACAAGATTTTTGAAAAAAAATCAAAATCAAAATTTCTAAAATTGAGATTGAGATTATGGATTTATCTATAAGTATTTGTAAAAGGTTGAGCCAAGGGAAATAATTTATTATCTTCATCGCAATATATAGAAGAAATACAAGGTGAATGAGGAGTCCATGCCCTAATGCCGTGTAGTAGTGCAGTTGGAAAAGAAAATGATATTAATGACATTTTTAAAGAAGTAAAGGTGTCTTGATAGAATTTATAGCTTTGATGTGGAAAAAATTACCCCAAAATTTACCTTTTATAATTTACCTTTTAGAAAAGATATGCAACACTAGATTAATTTGATTTTAATATTTAATTTACCAAATAAGTTAACATATAGGCCGAACCCTAAAAAAGCTAAAGAGATATAAATAAAGGTGATGGAGTTATAGAAAAAATATATTCTAAATAACATGAGTCTATGTGTTCTCTCTATCTTTTTTATTTTAAAAAATAATGGTTCATGGTAGATGTATGTTGAAAGTTGAGCCATTAACCATATCACACTAAAATACATGTATTTGATACTATAACTAGATAATATGTTGGATCAATTAATAAGTTTTAAGATGTTTTACAAGATTGACCTTAAAAATAGCTACTAGTGGAAGACAACCTTTAAAATACATCATGTGTTATATGTTAACCTTCCTTTTTTATATGTTTCAAATAAAAACATAAAAGCCAAAAACATTGTGTTTTTTCAGCAAATTTAGTTGATTTTAATTTTCTTTTTTTGTTTTGATAATTTTTACGTGGTTAGAAATAATCATAAAAATACAAAAAAAAATACAAATATGCAAAAAAAAAATACAAAAGTATAAAAAAATTCTAAAGACAAAAAAATAAAAAAAATACATATGTAGGGTTAAAATTGGACCAATAATTAATTATCATAGGTAAAAATTGAGTTTAAAAAAATTTGGGTCATAATTGAAGCTTGAATTGAAGAAGAAATTGAGAAAGAGGCTTAATTTGATGTAATTTAGCTAAAATTAAATTAGAAAAGTTCAATGATGAGTTAGAATTAAATAGCCAAGAAGTTCAATAATGAGGGCTCAATTATAGAAGAAAAGTTAAATTCAGACTCAATTTGGCTTAAAAAATAAGAATTAAATAACCAAGTAATAAAATGAAAGAAATGGAAAAATTAGAGGATATATGCTAATTCGCTCAGGGTTATTATTCAAAGAAATTAAAGAAAACTAAGTGAAATTAACCCAAATTAGGAAAATTCAAAGACTAAGAACTAAAGTGTAAATGGAACTAAAATGGGAGGATAAATATGAAATTTGGCATGATTTTCTAAGTAGCCAAAACCTTATTTTGATTAAATAAATAAAAAAAGACGTATCAAATTAAATGAAACAATATGATTGGCTTAAGTCGGGGAAGAACAAGTTTTAAATATTCACGTCATTTTAGTTTCTAATTTTGTAGATTTCTAGGTATTAAAGGAAAGTAGAGATAATTGACTCTTAAGCAATCTTAGAGCTTAATTTTGATCCTAATTGATTCTTTTGGCATCGCAATAACAGAAGGAAAGTGTTCTCCAACATGTCAGCTACAATCTTGGTGCAAAGAATTATGACTTAACTCCTTAAATCCAATCCAAATTTTGAGCTAAACATACTCTCCTAATTAGCCTCTTTTAAACACCATAAACTCAGCATTTCCATTCTTATTCAAGATCTAACCTTCAACCTTTGATTCTTTCACCACAAATCAAGTGAAAAAGGGCTGGTGAGCACCTAAGTTGATTTTCAATCCAAATTCATCAGGGCAATCCTTAAGGATTCTATTTTCATGAATTTAATGATTATTTTCTTATTAGTTTAATATGACTTATAGCTAATTGATTGATTACATATAACATTATTATATTTATATAAATATATTTTTTATATTAATAAAGATTTAATTTATCTTTAATACTCATATAATATTAAATAAATAAATCTAATATTTTATTTGGTTTTTATATTTAGCATAAGCAAATTTTTATACTCTTTTTTATTTGTACATCACTTATCACTTAATTGTGGGGCATAAAACCTATGGTTTTATTTTTTGTCAAATTAGTACCATAAAATAACTCTGTTTGGAAAAGATGTTGTGAAATAGCACACTTTCACCTTGCTGCACTTTAGAATAGAAACATTTACTAAATGTCATGTTTTTGAAGCACGACAAGTGAATTTTTAATTATCTGGTTAAACTCGTTAGCCGGTTGGATCCAGTTGCATTAATCGATTGATTGTTTCATATAAAAACGATAATTTTATGAACTTTTTCTTCCAAGCATGTTTTATAAGTCAAAATATATATCTTCATCCAACTAGTAGACTAAAAAATAGACGCTAATTAAAATTCAAAAAAAATTTGTTCATATATTAGTTGTTCTTTGTTTTTCAATATAAATAATATAGTCGAATTTGTGATAATGGGTGATTCTGAGTAGTCACGTATAGGTCAACCATAAGTAAAGGAAGATCTATCATAAACAGATTACATAGATAACCTAGCATGTGCATTCATGGGCCAGTGGGATAGGTCTAGGCCCAAGAAGAGATTTGGTCATGCTAGACCAGAATAACAAATAAAAAAAAGTGTGTAACTTTTGATCCGACTATTAGATTACGCTTAAATTTTTACAAGAGTTTTCATATGTCATTTTCCTGTAATAGTGACTGTGTTGCTATCCATACCACTGGATCGTTTAGATATAAAAAAATTCATTGAGGCCCCCTAGTTTTGACTGTTTTGAGATTTTTCTTATTATTTTCAGAAGTGGTCGACCAGTTAAGCCAGATGATAACACACTTTCACCTTGTTATGCTTTAAAAACATTGCATTTAGTAAATATCGTGCTTCTGAAGTGCGACAAGGTAAAAGTATGTTATTTCTCTAAATCTTTTTCAAACGATATTGTTTTATTGATTTTTTATGTTTACTGTGCTAATTGCCCAATTTATCCAAAACCTTTATCTAATCTCCGAAACAAAGAAAAACAAATATTGCATAGCATATATGAACAAGATAGTAATTAGGGCTAGAATGTTCTTTATATTGAATGTCTTTTAATCATTACACAATTTCTTTCTTCTGTAACAATGATCTCCCTTCAAGTTTTAGAACAAAGAACTAGATAATTCATACATGTTATGTTATAGGTCAAGTTAAAGTTTTCTTGAATATTAACAAAATATTAAGATATTACTAATATCTTTTTCCTAGCAAAAAAGGTTTTTAAAATTATGTAAGGATTGACTCATTATAACCCGGTTAACTTTGTATGTCCAAAAGCAACCCATATAACTTGTAAAAATATAATTTGATTAAAAATAATTCAAGATGATATTTTTATATATATATTAAGATAATAACATATTGGATTGACTTCAGTCAATCCTAGTTAATATGTCAAATCTACGACTTAGGTTAAGAGATTATAATAACCTTGTAGAAAACAAATCAAAATAAATTATAAAGACTAATTCTTAATTAATCTAATATTAAAGGATAAAATTAAAAACAAATCAATTAAAAATGACCTAAAAGGTGACCCAAGCTAACCTTTCAAACTCGCTACATAGATCATAAGATTGAGATAATCTTATAGAAAACAAATAAAAAAATATTATAAATTTCAATCTCAGTCAACTCAATATTAAAGGATGAGATTAAAAAATAGATGAATTAAAAAAATAGAAAACAACCTTAGTCATTTAG